TCAGACCTCCAGACCCCTCCGTGCCCAAGTCCATGTGGGGCCCATGAGTGAGCCACCACTGGCCCCCTGGGAGCCAGGCCAGCAAGGGACAAGGGTTCAGTCATGGCTGACTCCCCCTGGCCAGGCTGCACTGGCACCTCTCTGGGCCCCTCCCTGGCACTGCTGCTGGTCCTCACTCCAACTCTGGGAGGAGGGCTCACCACTCCCATTGTGCAGAGGAGGAAACGAACAGCCGGGCTTTCTTTGGGTTAAGCATGGTGAGTGCATTGTAAAGCAGTGCCAACCGTCTGAGCCTAAAGCGTTGCCAGGGCGGGCAAGGCAGCCAGAGTCGAGGGATGAGGAGGGTCCCACTGGGAATGGTCAGAGGCGCTCCCTGAGGTGGAGACATCTGAATTGAGCCCTGAGTGAGGAATGAAAAGGTGGCGGCTATGTGCAGGGCTGCGGCAGAGACTTCCAAGCGGAGGGAAGCAGTGTAGGAGTCCTGGGGTGGAAAGAAGTTGCTGGCTGTAAGACTCGCTAGGACAGGGAGGGGACTGCCGTCAGGGAGACAGCAAGAGGCTGGTGCAGGTGATGAGGGGCGGCTGGTGGGGGCCACCCAGGCGCTCAGCTGTGGTGAGTGGCTTGGACCTTACTCCAAGAGCAATGGGAAGCTAATGCAAGGTTTAATCAGGTAAGAGATGTGATCTGATTCTGTTTTTAAAGGACCCCTTTGGCTGCTACATGAAGCCTGGACTGTGGGTTAGGATGGGGGTTAGGGGGTGAGGGAGGGGTCCTCTGGAGGCTGTTGCTGATGTCTGGGTGAGAGATGGCGATGGCTGGGGCTTCGGGTGCTGACTGCAGAGAAGTAGGGAGGTTTGGGATGTGTTCAGAGGGAAGCCTGGGGCCTGCCAGTCCCTCCTTTGTCTTCATCCAAACCCTGTGGCCTTCAGAGTGCTGCTCAGTGGGCCCTCCCTCACAGCCGGGGCTGGGGCTGGCTCTGTCCGGGACACCTCAGTGACAGCACTCCTCTGGCCAGCTCTGCTTCAGGTCTCTATCTGTCTCCTCTGCTCAGCTGGGCACTCCCAGGGGAAGAGCCTGGTTCCAGTCTGGGGGTCCAGTACCTGGTACCCAGCCTGGTGCCAAATTCCCACCTAATAGGCTTCACTCCAACCAGGACTGGCGCTCAACACCAATAACTAACACTTTTCAGCAAGGCCCATGGCTCGCTTTGCAGCATGTGGAAGCCGGTGGGTGCTCCTGCACCTACTCATCTCTGCAAAGCTCCTCGGACAGGCTGGCCATGCGTCAGCAGCACTTCCTTCCTCTGCTGGAGCCTTGCTCATACCCTCACCTCCTGTTCCCCCGGGCACGCTCTGGACCTGCCGGGAGTCCCAACATGAGTCCACTGCCTCAGTGAGGCTCCTTCTGCTGGACCTGACACCTGACGCCTGACCCCCTGGCTTGGGGCATCCCTAGGCATCTGGATGGCTGTGGAGATCAGGGACAGGGACACATGGCCCCAAGCCTGCAACAGCCAAAGGCTTCAGCCTTCTTATTTAAATTGAGATGTAATTCACATATCGTAAAATACGCTGTTTTAAAGGTATATAATTCAGTGGCTTTTAGTATATTCATAAGATTGTGCAGCTGCCACCACTATCTAATTCCAAAACCTATTCATCACCCCAGAAAGTATCCCCATACCCATGCGCAGTCGCTCCCTGGGCCCCTCTTCCGTCAGCCCCTAGCAAGCACGAATCCTCTTTCTGTCTCTATGGATGTGTCTATTCTGGATATCTCATCAAAATGGCAAAAGGCTCGGCATCTGTCCAAGCTACAGACTCCAAGTGGAGCTCATAGAGGAAGCCACAGCACAACGCGGCCTCACATCATTTTTGGATATGACAAGACTGACTACACTGCTGTATGCATCCAGGAACCTGAGTTTGCCTAAGGAACGATGCCTTACTCATCCCAGAGCCTAAGATCAGCTCACTATCCTCCCACTCACCACCTCCACCTACTCTCAGGTCTCAAAGCAGAGAAGAGAAAACAAAACCAAACCAAAGCCCAGGCAACACAGTGAGACCCATCGCTACAGAAACAAAAACAAACTTAGCTGGGTATGGTAGTGCATACCTGTTGTCCCAGCTACTCAGGAGGCTGAGGTGGGAGGATCGCTTGAGCCCAGGAGTTCGAGGCTGCAGTGAGCCAAGATCACACCACTGCACTCCAGCCTGGGCACCAGAGTGAGACCCTGTCTCTAAAAAAACACAAACACAAACACAAAACAAAACAAAAAAACCCTGGTTACTGGTCTAGGCCAGTAACTGCCTGCAAGCCTACATTAGGTGCTTGACAGTGTTCATGGAATAAACTTTGACCTAATTTTTTCTTCCTCTAACAAGCTTAAGAGAAGCCAACTACCAAAAAGAAGGAACCTTTTCGGAAGAAAAAAAAAAAGTGTGTCCCGTGGCAGTTGGCTGTGGGGTGGTCATTCAGCCCATTGCTCCCGGCAAGGTTCGAGCTGGCCTGTTTCAAGGTCTCTTAACACAGCAGCCGCATGGGCATCCCACCCACATGGGCAGAGCAGGTCCCTGGTACAGGCTTTCCCCGCTCCCAAGGGAGGTCCAATGACTGGCCTCAAGCCTCTCAGCTAAGTGTTGACCACATGGGTGCCCTCAGAGAAGACCGGGCAAAGGGCATGGGGGCCTGGATCTAAGGCCTGTGGCAGGACCCGAGCAGCAAGCTGTCTGTCCTTTAAAGATGGGCTTGGGAAAGTGACCAGCTTTGGAAAAATCTTCCAAAGGCAATTTTTCCTCAGGGCCCTTGCAAGGGGCTCCTGACCCAAGATAAGAGGATCATTCCGGGTTCCAGACACATGAACCTTGAATCCAATGATAAATGTACTTCTAAAATGTGGGGGTGGATTCACTTTGCTTGGTAAAACCCAATCACATTTTATATGCCCACACGTCTTCAGGTAATGCAAGCAAATACTCTGACTTGCTATGTGTTTATAACTGTCAGGTTTGCTTAAAAGAGGTTCCCCTACATTCACATACATCTTCCTCACCCAGTGTCACTCCAGCTTACACCTTTGCCTCTGTCCTTTTCTGCAGCCCCACAGAGCAGCTGAGGCCAGGGCACAGAGAGCCAGTGTCAGAGCCCGTCCTTCTTCTCCTCATGTGTGCCCAGAAGCCACACAGTGGGGACTGTGGCTGCGTGGGGAGGAGGGCAAGGGGATATGTACCTATAGGAGCAGGTGCGATACATAGAAATGTATCTGCTGTAGCTTGAGAAAGACTGAAAGGTGAAAAATGAATGACCCAGGTCAGTGGTGGTGTGCCTCCCCCACTGTCCTGACTTTTAGAGCCCACTCTTGACCCATGTGGGCCAAAGGACACCAAATGGTTCCATCACCCACACCCTGACAGCAGAACAAGGCCTTCCCTGCTCCAGATACTCCCCCAAGCACTTGCCCACACCACTAGATGACCTCCGAAAGGAGGCCTTTTCCCTGCGCTGCTGTGGAGCCCCAGGAGGCTGGAGTGGAGCCTTGGGCCTAGGCCTTTTGTCTAATCATGGTTCCAAGGTGACCCCGGCCCCCATGCAAGTGGCTCACCTGTCAGAAGTTTGGCACTGGTAAGTTATGTTAACCTGGTCCCAAATCTAAGGGTTTACATCTTGTAGGGATCCAAAATGCATCTTCGTTAAGCATGGGCTCATGCAGGGTGAGTTCTCTGGGTATAGTCACTGCATCGGGCGGGAATGCTGGGGGGCACGCCCCTCACCTCACAGACTTGGAAGGAAGTGAACCACCTCATATACCAAGCCACTCCAGAGCAGAAAGTCGGATACAGAGACTACTTGGAAAACATGCTCATTTTACAGATGAGGAAATAGGGGCCCAAAGGGCAAGGAGTTCATTTCTAGAGCTGGCCATATAACAGGTTTTCCAGCCTGGGCTTCTGGAAAGCCTGTATGTCTTCTCACTCCCACTGACTTGGCATCCAGCAGCTCTCAGAACCACCCTCTTCACTCCTGGTCTGAAACAGCCTAGCAGTTACTCTCCTCCCTCTGGTGACCCCAGTGTAGCCATGTGAGCCTCCAGCCTGCCAGCCCCACCTGCACTGGGCTTACATTCACACCCAACACTCGCTTACCACAGTCTCCAAACCTTCCATGTACCTTCACTCCAACTTGGACCAACTGAGAAGAGTGTGAAACACGAATAGGAATTTCTTTAAAAGCATAGCTGTACTGCTCCAAAGCACTCAGAATAGGCTCTTCGCACTTTAGGTCATCTGCACCAATGGGCATGGTTTGTAACGATCATGAAATGTTTTCAAAGCACTGGGACTTAAAAATATTTAATTCCCGAATTCACTAAACTGGTCCCTTCTCAACATCCCTGATTTGTAGCACCTTTGCCAACCCTTCCTGGTGTGTCTGAGACCAAGCCAGTTTCCTAAGAACCCACTTTCCTCACATGGTGTTCAGGCTCCTTCTTTGGCAAGGGTGCACTCACACCAGTAAGGACACAGCCGAGTACAGCACGTTTCTCCTGCACAACCAGGGCACCTGAACAGATCAGCTTTCCTGCCCACTCCTCCAAGCGCCAAGGAGGCTCAGGGTTTCCTGGGCTAGTTAGAAAGTTAATTGCAAAGCTCTGAGATCAGATCAGAGCAGCCAGGAGCGACAGTGGTCTCGACTCAAAAGTTCTCGAAGACCCCACCCTGGCATCACCCAGCACCAGGACAGAGACTGCACCTGCTTATGAGCAAGCTGGGAAGACAAAAGCCAAGAGCCAGAGGGCAAGGGGGTGCCCCAGGGCGGCCTCTCCTTCCTTCAGCAAAGTTCTCCTTTTGGTTCAGATCCCACTGGGTGTGTATGGGAAGACAGACCAGCACAGGAGTCTCGTCTATTCCGTTCCAGGCAGAAGTCTCTTGCCGGTGCCTCACCTACCTGGTCAAGGAGGCTGCAAGCACAGGGCGGCACTGGCTGCGGGGTCCACTTACCAGCGGGGGCTGCGGCTGGGGGTGCTGCCCTGCTCCCGAGGGGGGTGGGTAGTGCATGAGCAGATTGAAGGCGGAGTAGACGGTCTCTTTGTACATGCCGCTGGTACACTCCGGGGCCTTCAGGCCTGGAAAAACCACAGCTGGGTCAGACACACCAGCCCTGGTGGCGGCTGGGACTGAAGGCTGTCTGCTCTTGAGAGAAAAAGAATTGCCAAGGGGTCCCCTTCAAGTTCCTGACTTGGGAAGGTACGGGTTGGGAGTATCCGCAGTGCCAAGTTGTAGGGGAAGGACCTGGAGTGCAGGCCTCCCCGAGGTGGCCACTACTTGACCTCCCCCCGCCCCCCTCACCCTCCAACCAAGAAACCTTGGCCAGTTCTGTCTCCTGAAGACGGCGGATTAGTCAGTCACCTGGGCAGGAGGGGAGGCGGGGATGGCGGGGGTCTGTTTACTCCTATAAAGGTCAGGGCACCGGAAGTGACTCGACCCGGCGGCGCCCGGGAAGCCCGCCCCCCACTCCCCACCCCTGGG